CCCCCCCCCCCCCCCCCCCCCCCCGACAAATCTCCTCAACTTACCAGCACTCGCTCTGCCTCCACAGTCAGGAGTGAGGATGGAAGGAGAGGAGCTGAGTGGAGGGATCAGAGGGGATCGTTCAGGGAGTACATTGGGTTAAGGTGGAGGGTTAGGATGGAGGCTGAGGTCAGGGTGATATGAACGGATGAATTGAGAGGAGAGAGATGGGTGGTGATGGTGGTGGTGGGTGCAGTGGGGAAAGCGCTGCCAGGGCTAAAAATAGCCTGTGACTCTGCAGAGAGAGAAGAGAAAGAGAGCGAGCGAGACTGTGGCAGAGCAACAGTGTTGTTGTGTCTGCCAGCAGGATTGATCTGGAGCCCAGTCCTGCTTAGACTAGTCCCTCGCTTCTGAAGAGTTTACTCTCACTACTGCGGCATTACAACTCATTATGCAGGACTGCTTCCTGTAAATAAACGCTGAGTTGCTCGAACCCGAGGGACACCGTCCAGCAGCTTTTACTAAATACACCCAAAAATACATACCACACATTATGGAGGAGAGAGTTTAGCGAGAGATCCAACACTGTAGCTCCCTTGCTAACACTTCATTCTTGCACATTGTTATTTCGTACCTTATTACTTCTTTTTATTGCAAATAATACTAAATTATATACAGTGTTATGTGATAAATCAAAGGAAAAACCTGAATAAATGAGCAGAGAAACATCCATAATGAAGGCAGATGCTTCCATACAGGGCACAAGAGTCCCCGGATGGTTTGATGAGTATAGAAATGATGTGAATAATGTTTAGTATGTTCTCCCTCCAGCAGAGTTCTGCAGACATGTAGATCTTTTACAAAGGAGCATTGAAGTCTGGGGAGTTATGATGGCGCCAAACAACTTTCTCAGACATTTTATGTTATTTGCTTTTTATCATGTCATTGGTATAATGCCTGTTTCACAGCTGGAAAGCTGTGTTTACAAGACTACACCCTCACCTTTTACGTATCAGGTAGGAAGTTATTTTGAAAAGCAATGATATTTACTGGATTGAAAATAGTATTCATTACAATACACAGTACTACTAAGGAAAATAATAATCTCTTTCTGACCTTTCTGTCATATAGCAAAATTATACTTTTTATATGGTTTGTATGTTGTTGCATTTCGCAATATGATGAAAATAAGACCTCTAAACATAATAACACAAGCATTTAGAGTTACACCGATCCTACTCATGAACGCAACAACCTCTGCCTCCAGTCACACACTCTGACAGCACACGGACATGCACAGAAGAGGTGGCTCCATGTAGACGAGTCCTAGGCCACCATGACCCTCTGAGCAGCCCCCAGGGGTGGCATGGCCATCTGCTGCGGCTGGTCACAGCAGGTCTCTATGGGCTCAGGGTTAAACACACATCTGATACAGCGCCAAGCCAGCAATTATCCCACATTCATCTCTCTCCGAGCTCCAGCCTGCTATTGCAGACATACAAATATATAATGCATAACTGCATGCTCACAGACACTCATATACAACATGTACACACTTGTGAATGTACACAGAGCGAGGTGTATGCGCTCACACACACCACATACACGCAAAGACACATACTGAGAAATTCCCACTGACACAAAGTGCTATCAGTAAATTAAATCTATCATGCTGAGTGGACCAACAAATTCCAAACAGGAGACAAACACTGAGGTCAGGTGATGATCTCCCTTACATCAATCTTCCTCCGCTCATCTCCTTCGCTCTCCTCGCCCTTATCTCGATCTGCTTCCTCTCTCCTCCCTTTGCCACATCTCTCCTCCTCCACCCTGCCTTGTCTTATCTTCATCTTTCCCAATCTCTCTATCCTCAATACCAGCCTCCTCTCACCAATTTCAGATTTCAGCAAAAGCAGCGGCGCGTAGGTTAGATGCCTACTGTTGCTATAGAAACCGCCCCTCTGCTCTAGATTACAATGTGACTTTGTCTCCTCACCAGGGCTACAATGTCTGCTCGCTTTTTATGTCTGACCAGATACATGCCTGCCTATCTTTTGTTTGCCTGTACGCCTGTCATTCTGTCAGACGACGAGGCTGTTCTTCTGCCAGCGTGTTGTCTTGTCATCGCTACATGCTGTTATTTTAATGTCATCCATTGCTTGTAGTTACACATTTAAACTTCAAAATCTCCTCTCCAGTGAAGGTCGGAGCCTTTACGGCCCAGAAATTTCATCATATGTGAAGAGGACCTTGACAGATGATTTATCCGGTAACGCACAGGGTAACAATACGGGATTGAAAAATGGCCGGTACATAAAGGCTGTCATATGTAGCGGTACATGTAAATGACGGAGTGTGGTTGCTGGGACTAAATCTTTTGAATTTGAAGGTGTGAGCTCTCTCGATGGACTGGCTGAGACAGGTTGACATTTGAGTGCGAGACAAGCCCTCCATCATGGGTGGGGACAGATTACAGTCATATTCATATCTCCTCTGGACACCTGCTAATGATTTTATAATTACAGAACACACTCTGTGCCTCCGCCGTGCCCTGGGGTGTGCACACAAGCATGCAGAAACGCACACACACACACACACACACACACACACTCACACACACACACACACACACGCACTGCACCCCTCTCATCATTCGTAGCCCCAGTTTCCCTAATGGAAGCTGACATTATATCAAACACAATAAAGGATTTCATTTAATGCTCTTCATTAACCCACACACATCAGCCTGTAAGGTACACACCGACACACAAAGTCTCTCTCTCTCTCACACCCACACAAACACACACACACAAACACAGCTCACTTAATGTGAGAATGCAACCAGAATAAAGGAAGAAAAACTAAACAATGTGATTTTGCTGCAGAGAAGAACTGCTTACGTAAAGTTTGAAGCTAACGTGTTATGAAGCTATATACGTTCTAACTCCTTTTCTTATCTCCCCCACTCAAGTCTCTCCTCGTGTCTCTACCTATCTCTCCGTCTGTCTTTCTATTTCCACAGCATCCTTACATCCCATCTCTACACGTCGGATGGTAAGGAACTGAAGACATTCGAACTAGATAAACACTCGGCCATATTGGCTTGTGAGACCTCTCCGGTAAGAGGCAATGAAATCCTTCAGGCTAAGCACATACTCGTACACTTTATACTCCGGTGAACGCACAACACACAGGTGCATTACAATCCATGGAAGAAATGACTGACGTCCAATTTCATCAGGAGAATGAAATTTAAAGGAAATATATGCACAAGGGCATTCATACTGAAAGGAGAGATGTCAAAAAGAAATCACAATACGCCATCAGAAACAAATTATTTCAGCTCATTTCCTTTAGTTTATAAGGTCCACAGGTTTGCACAAGTGTTAAAATGTGAGCTTTTGAAATATGGTTTTCAAACAGAGGTAAATTAATCAGACATGTAGGAATTTGTCAGGGATCTGAAAGCCCTTTAACCACTTTGATCTTGAATTGTGGGGGTATCCTGTGAATAAACTATGAATTCTTGTTCTTTGTTAAATGTTAAATCCTATCCTTTACTGGGTGTGGGCATATTGCTTATTCACAGAAATGTGAAAGAAATGATTTATACTTGTACCTAAATTGT